CAGAATCTCATCTGCCATCATCAGGCTTCTGTATTGTGTCTGTCTGTTGACACACAGATGGACACAATACAGAAGCCTGATGATGGCAGATGAGATTCTGCCGAAACGTTGCTACAACTTTAAAAGCACAACTACAATGATGTGGGAAAATACCCGAACAAAGCTGAATACCATACATACATATGTACATACATATGTATGTACGTATGTATGTAATAAACAGTAAAACCAATACCAGAAAAAATGGCCCATAGCTACATTTCCATGGAAAAATATTACAGAGCAGAGCAGCTAAATTTGGAACATCCCAGCAATCCATTGGTTTATAAGTACAGTTTTTAAAGTACCACTTTTACCAAGCAGACCAAACATAATAATAAAAAAGGTTCAAATCTGTTAGAAGCTCATTAACCTGTGCAATGAAGCAGTGTCAACTACTAGGCATGAATATCTGAGTATCCTACCTGGAAATGCTAAAGATGGAACTGAGAGCTTTTGAATGCACAGCATCTGTTCTTTCACTGAATCATGTCTTTATTCCAAAGTAGAAAAGTGCATAGGTTCTCAGATGATCTTTCATAGAATACATTATTGGTAAAGGATCACTGCACTCATGATTTATTTGTGGATTATCATAACCTTGCTGGACACAGAATGTTCAGCTACATAATAAGCTTTTCATCTGATGAAGTACATCTCTCCTTATATCTTTACTGTTTCCCAAAAATGCTTATTATAAACAAATTTCCAGTGTTTTCCATTTTAGTACATGGATGGTAGGTATTTTCTTCCCAGGTTTTTGATAGGAGCTCTTTAAAAAAAACAACAGTTTGCTCAACTTTAGGCGATTTGTTTGTAGTCAGGTCTCTTTTGCCACTTGTTCATTTATGTCACTAACTTATTGGTAAAGTTTGCAACCATCTCTGTCTCTGTGTGTGGTTGTGTCTGCTTGTCCTAAGATAGGACTAGAGTGGGATGCAAATATTTTTACTACCGGTTCTGTGGGCATGGCTAGGTGGGCGTGGCCATTTGACTGGGTGGGTTGTTGTTGTTGTTCTTCTTCTTCTTCTTCTTCTTCTTCTCACATCCCCCCCCCCACGGTCCTTTTTTTTTTTTTTGCCTTCCTGGGCCTTGGGGAAGCCTCCTGGAGTGGGGGGGATTTTTGCTCCCAGGAGGCTTCCCTGAGGCCAAAAATGGAGCACAGGGGGATGTGCAGCACTTATTGTCTCCTGGCCTCAGGGAAGCCTTCTTTCCGAAGCAGTAAGACAGCGAAGGGGAACCCAGAAAAGATGATCGTCAGAACAGCTGATTGTCGGGAGGGAAAAAATAAATACCTTAAGGAGTGACTGGGCAGGGGAGAATGCAGTCAGCGATGTCAGGTATGTGCCGATATCGCGTGTGTGTAATAAGGACTGACTGGAAGGGGAGGGATGGGTGGAGAGGGGAGGGCCCAGCCAGGGGCATGATTTGCCAGTTCTCCAAACTGCCAATAATCGTTCCAACTGGTTCGATAGAACCAGTCCGAACCAGTAGAATCTCACCCTTGGATAGAATGCTACTTCTTCTCAATTGACACTACAGCAGTTTATTGCAACGTAAGTAAGTAAGTAAGTAAGTAAGTAAGTAAGTAAGTAAGTAAACATACAAGTAAGTAAGTAAATAACAAACACCCATAGAAGCACCACTTCCAAAATTACAACTTTGTTACACTTCAATCCTTAGATCAAATGTGGAATAATGAAATTAGTCTGTAGACTTGTCTTTTAAAAAATCACTGCTGCGCAGAGCTAGATTTCAAACTGTTTCACTTCTGTTGTCTTTTTCAAAGATTATGGAAATTAATAGGAAAGGACATTTGACATGAATTAATCTAACCTTTGCTCTTTGCATCTGTTAAAGAGGGTTCTTGTCCTACTGTGTTTCTCCAACAATACGGCCTCCACCAATAGGAAGGCCCAGCATGTTTTATTGGCATAAAATCAAATTAAGCCCCACCCCTCAAATTTAGGCCTATTTTAAAACATGCAAAATAAGGGGGAAGGGCGGGGGGACTTGCCGTTAGGAGCGCCCCGCGGGCAGCAATTCCTCGCCACCAGCTGCTCCTAATGGGCGATCATGGCAGAGTGTAGAGAGCTCCCTACTCCTGCCAAGCACATTTGCTGCAGACCCAAGACCTTCAGTGCTTGCCGCTGTTGGTTTCCCTTCTGCCCATACCACCACCACGTTTGGAGCTGCCACTTCTACATTTGGAGCACCGCTGCCGTTTGGAGCTGCCGCTTCTGCATTTGGAGCTGCTGCCACATTTGGAGCTGCTGCCACATTTGGAGCTGCCGCTTCTGCATTTGGAGCTGCCGCTTCTGTGCTTCGCCATGATCACCCGTTAGGAGCGGCTGGTGGCGAGGTGCCCGCAGGGCAGAGATGAGGATGCAAGGGGGAAAATTAAGTCACCCCTGAAAAGACGGCCTAGCCGTTTTTTCGGGGCTCAAAAAAATAATAATGCCTGGCCTTATTTTATGAGAAACATGGTATTTTGCTAAGGATGGGAATCATTTGTTAGGAATTCATTCTGGAAGAGAAGTGTATCCTTTTCTATCTGGTTTCTCGTCTCTGCAATTTGCTTCAGAGCTAGACACATCCTTGGAGACAATTCCCAGGAACATCCTGCTCCATAGATAAGGGGAGGGGGCTGCCTAGGAAGACAAACACGCAACGACAAGGGATATTGTGTACAATAACAAAGTATGGAGACAGCACGGACAAAGAACGCTCCATGGATAAGGTAGGGGAGGGCATGGGCAAGACATTGCCCACATTAATAATGAACCTTTGTCTCTGATTGGATAAACTTTGTTTCTATCAGTGTAAAATGTATATAATACTCTGAGCCACTCTCGCAGTGTATGGCTATTCCTTACATGCATTTTGTCTGTACGTTTTGGACATAGTATTCAAACATTTTGCTTTGGCAAAAGAATAAAAAAGCGGTTATTTTTGCATGCCTCGTCCCGAGTCTCACTCTTTGGCATCTCAATGGCTCAAGGAAACTTCTGGAACCTTGCATTAGTATTACCTAAAAAACTCACAAACTAGATAAGAAATTGGACTTGGTATCCTGAATGGCCTTTAATTCTGTGGTTCAATGGGGGAAAAAAAGAGAGGATCCAGCAAGCTTTTCTTCACAAATTTACCTTGCAAGAGCTGGTGTAGCCATACTACTCTGTACCCCAATAGCCATGGGAATAGCCCCACAGTGAACAAATCCAAGTTCTTCTGCCACTGCACTGATGTAGGAAAAATCCAAATTTAGGCCACCATATTCTGAAAATAAAAAAAACACATTACCATTACAAACTGATTTAAAGTTATAAATTCTAGAGTCATTATATAGCTGCTTTGCATAATGTAATAAAGCCACACGGGCCCGATATTTCCTCTTTGCATTGGGTAGACTGGGCCAAAGCCACCCGGACTGGCCCCTTATATTTTCCAGGGCAGTCCTATGGGCCAGATCTGACCATATCATGGGCCAGATCCGGCCTGCAGGCCTTGTATTTGACACTCCTGTTTTAAAGAATATATAAGGAAAAAGGATGCACAAGAGAATAGCTAGGTATGCTGCCACTACTTCCCACACTATGCCATCCTACTGTCTAAGGCAACTACCTTACTATAATTCCTATCCTTGGAGGATACAAACAGGTTACTTTGACTGGACTATGAGGCTTTTATTCTATCTGCTGATTGAGAGTCCCAGAATAATAATATGGGTTGCAGGATATCTCTCTCTGCAATCATTTTACAGTAGTTAATAAAACAACTTTATTAACAAAAAGAGTATATTATTCCAATCCATTATATATACAGAATAAGTTATTTTTATTTCAGGTTGATCAGTTACCTAAATTTCTGCCCTAGGTTAATGAATACAGAAATATTTTCTCACATACTCCAGGAGAGTAAATCTAGATCCAAAAGGTACTTGTTGATATAGCAGAGGACATATATGAATAAGTGAATCAAACTGATGCTTGAATAATGAAACAGGACTTTAATCTCTACCACTAAATGTAGAGAATCAATAATTTCCAGCAAATAATTTATTATGCTTGCTTAATAAATGAGGGAATGAAAAATTGGAAGAGCCCATGTATAATTGGTATTATATCTTTTAAGAGACCAGAGACTTATTATCTTGCCATATTTTGCTACCAACTAAACTAAATTACCTCTTCTGTATCCCCATAGCTTAAAAGTGCCCACTGGAAACTAGGAAAAATAAATGCTATTGAGTCCTGGATGCTTTCTAAGCCTGATTGTTTGCTTCATCACCCAACTAGGAAATGTCATCAGAAAATATATTATAAAGTAAATCTAGAGTCTTGTTTGCCCATATTCTAATCAAAACACTAGAAAAACTATTTCAAGAAATGTATGAAATAGGCATAACTGTATTTGGAAGTTCAGAGAAAACTAGTATTCAAACTGCAGCATTTCTCCTTCATAAAGAAAGCAATTTAAGGATGCTAATGGATGAAATTAGATATATGTGTAATATTAATGCAGTATTGAGTGAGCCAGTTTGTAAGATGCTATATATCTCCGAATAGGGAATAAAGTTGGCTATTATCACTAGCTTAGGTTGTTGGGGGGCAGGAAGATTCTGTTCTCAATCAAATAGAAACCAAATCTAAATTGTATTAATGCTTATGAGAAAATTAAAAGCATGCTTATTTCTTTTAAATTATATCCATAGTGTTCCATTTTAGAAAGATTTATGGTTTATAAATCACTCTTGACCAACAATATCTTCAAAATAATTTATTTGCACTGTTCATTTAATATTTTATTTAAAATTATTTATTAATGCTAGCAATGACACAATGAAATTTCTATTTCAATCTATAGTTTCTACACATCTGAAAAATGATGTCAAGTACAGCTCTTCTTTATACCATATTGTATATTTCTTGCAGAGCAAATATTTTCAAAAAGAAGAGGCTTTGTACTCTGTTCCTATCTTGCATAAAACTTGTATAGCAAAGTATAAATGCCTTTGCAAATGTTTATAGATACACCTAATATGAACTAGCACTTTGTCACTACCTGGGAACACTTATAAGCATATATTATCTTTTATTGCCTTAAAATCCTGAAGTAGAAAATCAATCAATTATTTGCTATTGGAATAATGGCCATAGTTTATATGCATTTTATTAGAAGGTTCTCAAACAGGTGGTTGGACTAGAATAACTCCAAGGTCTCTTCCAGTTCTATTCTGAATTGAATTGAAGGTTGCAATAGCAGATTTTTCCTACAGAGAACTTCAAAGCAATTCTTGACATAACTACAGTTGAAAGCATTTAAATTAGATTTAGGCAAAAAGAGCAGCATACAGTGTATCACAAAAATGATTGCAAAGGCAAAAATAAGAAAACTTGAATGTTAACTTCACAGTGACAAAAATCAACACATCTCAGAGTAGGATCTAAGCAGTAAAAGGACTGACAGTTTCTCACATCACAAGAATGGGGCAGGGGAAAGGGAGAAGTGTTAGTTGCTATTTTAGAATTGTTTCAAAGAATGATAGTATCCAACTGAAGCTTCCCTTTGTGACACAGACATACATACTAGTGGTGGTGCAGTGGTTACAATGCAGTACTGCAGGCTACTTCTGCTGACTGTTGACTTCCAGCAGTTCAGCAGTTTGATTCTGACCAACTCAAGATTGACTCAGCCTTCTATTCTTCTGAGGTCAGTAAAATGAGCATTCCGATTGTTGTGGGCAATATGCTGACTCTAAAACCGCTTAGAGGGCTGTAAAGCACTGTGAATCGGTATATAAGTCTAAGTGCTATTGCTATCTGTGGTTAGGGGTATCAGACTATATTGGATCCTTCTGGGCCTTCTGGATCCTTTAAACCAGAGGTGGGGAACAATTGTAGACTTCAATTCCCAGAATTCCTGAATCTGCCAATTCTGGGAGTTGAAGTCCACAAATCATAAAGGGGCCATCATTCCCATTTCTGTTTTAAAACCATGAGATTTTGAGTGACACAGAAGATGTATTTACTGAGTTGTAGCTCTTTCCCTCTGAAAAGATATATCCCTGGAGATTCATGCATGTTGTAAGGGAAGCTTCTTCCCTTACAACATTCTAAAAATTATCAAAACCTGGCTGTTCTCTCAAGCCATGGATTAAGGTAGTTGTTGTGTACAGGGGTGGGCTGCTGGGGGTTCGGGAGAGCCCCTAGCTAAGATTCTGCGCAGTTCGGAGAACCCACAAATCCCACTCCTGGCCCCTCCCCTCCCCTCCCAGGAGTCCCCACACAGCCCGTTTTGGAGGCAGATAAGTGCAGGGCACATGCAGAGGCTTGGAGAGGGTGAAAACGGGCCTCCCAGAAGTTCAGGAAGGCTGAAAATGGGCCCATTTCCGGTTTCCAGAGAGCCTCTAGAGCCCAGGGAGGCAATTTTTAAAATTACCTTTATTGTCAGGGTACAACATGCGTACAATGAGATTGGTTCCCTTTGTGCACCCCCCCAACACAACTCACAGTGAGGACAGAAGTCCGTAATCAAGTGCCAATCTTATTACATTATGTGACTTTGTTGCACAACGCACCGGCCCCACAAGCCTATCATACTACGTTGACATGAAGTTATTTTCTGTTCAGAAGTCTGGCAGCCCATGTGTCAACTCATAAACATTTTTGTATACACATTTTATAGTTGACAACAGAAAGAAGGCGGGGGAGTTTTAAAGAGCATGTAGCAGTGTGGAATCGAATCCATTCATGTTTTCTTCAAAGACTGATTAGATGACTGAAGCTTCTGCCACGCAAAAATCTAATTGAAGAGCTTGGCAATGGACGTTTTTCATTGGATGATACACCCAGAGGAGTGGGAGGAAAAGCAGGATCAAGGGTGACAGTGAATTATGTATCACAGAGTTAGCTACGCCCAGGTTAATGCCGGACATAGAATGTTAACTTCAAATAAATCCTTTTTAGTTTGGGGAGTGCGTCTCAAAGTTCATGATTTAATTGGAGTAACTGCCAGAATCCTGACACTACGGGTTCTTCAGCCTGGTGCGGCTGGCTATGCTTCTATATCTTCTACTCAGGAAAGCCTCTGGAGCCCAGGGAGGGCAAAAATGCCCCCCCCCCGCCATGGTGCAGGAGGCCAACTAGGCCACGCCCACCCAGCAACTGGACAAAGAACCCATTGCTAAAAATTTTAAAGCCCACCCCTGGTTGTGTAGCCCTTTTAGTTACTTTAGTTTTGTTCTATATTCTGGTCAACTGTATCCTTTTTTATACAATTGTTTCTTTGCATATTTATTTGTAAGTGTTGAGTAATCAGGCAGCCTTAAAATACTGATGAATAAAGACAATAAAAAAAGAAAATATAAATTACAACAGAAGCTATCAGAAAGCCGCCATGTCCTTGCTTATAAACTAATTCATTCTGTTTGCATAACATTAGATAAAACAAATTTTATTGCCTACTGTAGGACAGACAGACACGAGACCAGATACACACACAGAGCACGCACAAAACAAAGTAGAAACAGTATATGTGTCAAGTCTATGTAGAGATAGACAAAAATGAACAAAATAAATAATCTTACAAAACAGAATAAAAAAACTTGTAAAATAAATATCTTTAATTTAGTAAATGGGCTCTAGCAGAAATGAATTCAATGTACAAAACTAATAGGAGGAAATAACATTGGGTTCCTTCTTTAATTTGTGGGAGGAAGTTAGGAAGGACAGGCTGAAACTTTTTTTCCTTCCTTAAACGAAATGTATTTCTTCTAATCCCCACTATATTTATGCCACGGTCTTCTTGATCATTAAAAAATATTATTTTAAAAAGCACTTGATGAACTCATTTCTTAACTCCCAGAAAAACAAACATATACTTAGAAAGACCAGATCTGAAAGAAACTACAGAGTTCACCTTGGCTTGCCTATATTACACAAAATTCCTGGTAATAGGAAAAAACATTGGCTGTTTTTCTTTAAAAAAAAGAACAATGTGTATATACTGACTTCATTTTATTTGGAACAGTGGATGCTGAGTCAAACAAATTTCCCTGACTTTTTATTAAAAAGATTAGAGATAAATGTAAAATATAAGGAAAGAGAAAAGGCAAGCTAGAATATAAGAAGTTCATTGAAACATATTTATTGCAAAAGAATCTATAATCCGCCTTTTTAGATATATGTCCCTAGCAGTAAGTTCTCTCTAGGGCATTTTTGCTGAAAACCAAAAGTAAATGTCAGGTTTTGGCAAAACATTATAGTGACAACGGAATG